AATTTCATTAGTTTTATATTTACAGGTCCCAAGTATAAAACGAAAACAAATGAAAAAAGACCAATTAAATATGACAAAATATCTAATGCCGGTGATAGCAATTCTGTTGGCTCGCTTCAAATGCAATGTCAATTGTATTATTCATTTGATCAGCAATCAGATCAGACTAATACCTCAATATTTTGGCTTCGAAAATACAAGCGAGATGGAAGATCTGGTTAGTAATTTAATTTTTGTACCTATGAATACCTATAAGGATTACTTGTCTGTGCTTGAATTGCCACCAGCAGGAGTATATATTTAACCAGAAATTTTAATTGCATATGGGAATGTTCATGCATCTTGCATTTGTAGTTTTTCTAACTTTTTAATATATACTTACTAGTTTTAATCTAGTGTTTTATGTTTACAGCATTTAAGGAATTTATCGGGCGCTCTGCCCAGGATTCTGCAGACGCAATAGTGTTGGACAACTGCAGCAAGACATTGCATTGCCTTTATAAAAGGGCAAAAGCATTGTTGCAGAAGCGGTGCCGCCATTTCGACCATTGTCGATGAATGCGCACTTGTGTATATGGAGCCATATCTTACATGGCTAAGTATTGTGGATGGGGTACGAATTACATTTTTGTTATGTGTAGAAAGTTGTCAAACAATCATCTCTTGATCAGAAATAATTTTTCTTTCTAGCAAATGGATCCAAAATGTGCTAAGAAAGAAGATTTTCCTGAGATTATAAATTCTCTGAAAAATATACATTTTCCATTATTTATATAATATAAATTATTTAGATATATGGGATGATTTTCTAGAAGAATTTAAAGTGTTCAGGAATGGTGTCATTGAAAGAAATCTTCCTATCGGTATGTTAATTAGACCAAAGATTAAACATAACTAATTTAACTAATTCATACTTCTATCAAATATCTTTTAGGGATCGATATACTGCCTACTTTCGTACGGCACATATTTATCGTGGGAATTGATGGAAATAAAAAAATGGATCTGGATAATATGGTAGTCAATGCTATGGCTTGTATGAAACGAGCCGATATATTAGAGTTAAAATTAAAAAATTATATTGAAATCTGCAAGGACATCGTAAAAAATGTCACTCATAATGATCTGCAACAAGCTGTAAGTTGATTTGAAAAAATCAAAATTTTAAAGTAATACTAATTGTAAGGCGATTTTCAATATTGTTTTTAAACTATACTCGTACATGAACTACTTGTCTACTTGTCCACCTGTCTCCAACTTCTTCAACCTTCTACTTGTCAACAGTTTTACCTTGCTGCCTGTTTACTGTCCAACCTGTTAACCTGTTAACCTGTTAACCTGTTACCTGTTCACAACTCTTCAGTTCACACGTCTACTTGTCCATCTGATTGTCTATGTATCCACCTGCATTGGAAATCAGAAATTTCCTCATGCATAATAATATCGACGTAATGCTGATCTCAAAACGCACTTCACAGATAAAAGTTTCATGAATATTCCCAACTACTCAATATATAGTAACAGGCATCCTAATGGTACGGCACATGGAGGATCTGCGATCATCATAAAAACTAAAATAAAACACGATCTATCTGAACCATATTGTACTGAATACTTACAGGCATCAAATATTTCAACTACATTTAATGGTAAACAATTAATTTTTTCAGCGGTATATTGCACACCTAGACATAAAATTTTAGAAAATCAATTTGTAAATTTCTTTAACAAGCTAGGTAATCATTTTGTAGCCGGTGGTGATTTTAATGCTAAACACACCCATTGGGGTTCGAGACTAATACGCCAAGAGGTCGTGAGTTATATAAAACACTATTGAGTAAAGATTTAACACCAAAATCAACTGGAGAACCCACTTATTGGCCTACTGATCATCAAAAAATTCCTGATTTACTAGACTTTTTTTTAGTTAAAGGAATTCAAAGTAACTTAATAACAGTACAATCATGCCTAGATTTGAATTCGGACCACTCGCCTGTACTACTTCACCTTCATTCCTATACTCCTGATATTTCAACGACAAGATTTCTCACAAACAGATTTACTAATTGGGATAAATTCAAAGAAATTCTTGATCATGATATAAATTGTAATGTTCCATTAAAATCCAGTGATGAAATAAAAGAGGCTATTGCATCTCTCACAAACACAATACAACTAGCAGCTCAAAAATCTACTCCTACAATTGATAGTTCTTCTACAAAACAAATTCCAATTCACATTAAAGAAAAAATATCCATAAAAAGACGTCTCAGAAAAAAGTGGCAAATTACTAGATCCCCGTCTGACAGATCAAACTTTAACAAAGCTTGTAAAGAATTAAAAAAGTCTCTACATGATATTAACAATGCTAACATGGAAGAAAAACTAGATAATCTCACAGCAACTAGTGACACTAATTATTCACTATGGAAAATGACCAAAAACTTTAAAAGACCTGTTATACATACTTCACCAATTAAAAAAGATGACAATTCTTGGGCAAGTAATCGTCAGAAAAAGGCAAATGCGTTTGCAGATTATTGTCGATGGAAAGTGCTCTAAACGATATCCACGGAAATTAACAGCGGGGACTGTCACTGGCAATGATGGTTATCCGCTGTATCGTCGTCGATCACCAGATGACAATAATCAAACTGTCACAACGAAAGTGAAAAGAATGGATTTCGTTGTTGACAACAGTTGGATTGTTCCATATTCGCCACTAACTTCTAAAACGTTCAAGACGCATTGTAACATTGAATACTGTAATTCAGTTAAGTCCATCAAATATATTTGCAAATATGTCACGGAAGGAAGTGATATAGCTGTTTTTAGATTGCAATCCTCGAATGACAACGATGAAATTTCACGCTATCAAGTTGGTCGTTATGTGAACTGTAATGAAGCGATTTGGCGTATATTCGCATTTCCAATTCACGAACGTCATCCTACTGTTATGCATTTGGCGGTGCATCTGGAGAATGGTCAACGAGTATATTTCACGGCTTCAAATGCTATGCAACGTGCTGAAACACCTCCAGCAACTACATTAACCAGTTTTTTGCAATCTGTCGAAGAGATCAGTTTGCACAAACTTTGCTTTACTCGGAGATGCCACGTTATTATACTTGGAATGCTTCATCGAAGAATTTTCAAAGACGAAAGAAAGGCAATGCGGTTCCTGGGTATCCAGATGTGCATTCTACTGAAGCTCTTGGTCGAATGTATACAGTTCATCCAAAAAATATTGAATGTTTTTATTTGCGGTTGTTGCTGGTAAATGTGCGTGGGCCAACGTCATTTGAGTCACTACGAACTGTTAATCGTTTAATATTTCCAACATATCGTGCTGCATGTGAGGAATTGAAATTATCAGAAAACGATAGTCATTGGGATACGACAATCGCTGAAGCCATTATCTCTGCATCTCCAAGCCAGATACGCACATTATTCGCTATAATAATTTCGACATGTTTTCCATCAAATCCATGTAACCTGTGGCACAAATACAAGGACAATATGTCAGAAGATATTTTACATCAAATTCGTGTTAGTTCTAGAAATTTCGATATTGAGATGAATGAGGAAGTACACAATCGTGCTTTACTCTTGATCGAAGATATCTGTTACCTCATGTGCGGTAATTTATTAATCAGGTTAGGCATGCCAGCACCATGTCGTGAAATGAATGACACATTTAATCGAGAATTGGAACGGGAACGTGAATATGACCTCCAGGAATTAGATTTAGTAGTTCAAACGAATGTTCCCCTGTTGAATTGCCAACAAAAGGAAGTTTATTATACTTTAATGAAGGCAATCGATGATGAAAATGGTGGTTTATATTTTCTAGATGCTCCTGGTGGAACTGGCAAGACATTCCTCATGTCATTAGTTTTAGCAAGTGTTCGGGCGAGATCAAACATAGCGGTTGCAGTTGCTTCTTCTGGAATAGCAGCCACGTTGTTAGAAGGATGCCGTACGGCTCATTCTGCATTCAAATTACCGTTAAATATTCAATCTATTGAAGAACCAACGTGTAATATTGCAAAACACTCAGCAATGGCCAGAGTTTTAGCGTTATCGAAAATCATCATCTGGGACGAATGCACAATGGCCCATAAACGTGCATTAGAAGCACTTAACCGAACATTAAAAGATTTACGCAATGACTCAAGATGTTTCGGAGGAGCAATGATTTTACTGTCTGGCGATTTCCGCCAAATACTGCCAGTAATTCCAAGATCTACAGTTGCCGACGAAATAAACGCTTGCCTCAAATCGTCAAATCTATGGCGCTATGTGAAGAAACTGCAACTGACAACAAACATGAGAGTTACATTGCTTAATGATACATCTGCTGAAGATTTCTCGAAGCAATTGCTGAGTATCGGTAATGGTCAAGTACCTGTCGATGAATCGAGCGGATTAATATCATTTCCAAACAATTTTTGTAATTTTGTCTCATCAAAAGACGAACTTATCAACAATGTATTTCCAGAAATTATTTCTAATTGCAAAAATAATGAATGGTTGAGTAAGCGGGCAATTTTAGCAGCAAAGAATAAAGATGTAGATGACCTAAACCACATAATTCATAAAATAATTGGAACAATGCATTCATTCAAATCTATTGACTGCGTCACAAATGAAGATGAAGCCACCAACTATCCAATTGAATTTTTAAACTCTTTGGACGTGCCTGGCTTACCGCCGCACAATTTACTCCTAAAGGTTGGCTCCGTAGTAATAATGCTTCGAAACATAAACCAACCAAAACTTTGCAACGGTACGCGTTTGGTGGTTACAAAATTGTTGAACAATGTAATTTACGCTACCATAATGATAGGAAAATTTGAAGGTGAGGAAGTTCTCATTCCGAGAATACCGATGATCCCAACCGATATGCCGTTTGAATTCAAAAGATTTCAATTTCCAATACGCCTTGCATTTGCCATGACCATCAACAAATCACAAGGGCAATCCTTAAAAGTTTGTGGTTTGAATTTGGAACATTCATGTTTTTCCCATGGACAACTATATGTGGCATGTTCACGGGTCGGAAAACCATCTGCGTTGTTTGTTTTTGCGCCTGATAACAAAACAAAAAATGTTGTGTATAACAAGGTACTTCAATGAAGAGGTACTAAAATGAATAAATAATTATGAATGATTAATGTTGCTATTTTATTTCTATTTTTATTTTTTCCATTAAAAAAAAAAGCTTATTTATTGCCATTATGGCGGAACAAAGTTCGCCGGGTCTGCTAGTATATATATATATATATATATATATATATATATATATATATATCTATATATATATAAATCTCGTGTCACGATGTTGGTTCGCGATGGACGCCCAAACTACTGGACCGATTTTAAATTTTAATGGCTCATCGTGTGCATATATATCCAACTTAGGTTATAGGAAATTTTGAAAAGTAAATTTGAAATATAAATATATAATTTTTATAAATTTCTAAAAATTTTGACAGAAAATGACCAAAAAAAAAACAAAACACTAAAATGACAAATGTCAAAATTAAAGGAAATTTGGATATATAATTTTTGAAAAAAAAAATTGACATTTCAAAAAATAAAATTCAAAAACATGTACATATATAGAAATATCCAACATTTATATCCAAATTTGATGAAATGCTACATACAAAATCACTGATTATAGTTTTAAATCTAATTAAAAATCAATGCTTAAAAATTTAAATAAATGTTGACATGAAAAAAAAAATGTCATCTGTCAATATTTATGAAAATAATTATATAAATAGATTTATGATTTAGATTTAATTGATTAGCTTACCAAATTATTTCGGAAACCAAAACTTCATTAAAACCTTATAGATTAGAGATCACAATAAAAAAGCGGCACTTGAATTTAAAAATAATCATAACCAAAATTTTGACATGTCACAAAAAAAGAATGTTTAACGAGTTACTTCAATAAGACGCAAATAAATTAATTATTACAAGTTATGTTACAGAAAATATTGCCTAACAAATTATAGATACAAAACAATATTGTAAAATAAATATTTTCAAAAAATTTTGACAGAAAATGGCCAAAAAAAAAACAAAACACTAAAATGACAAATGTCATAATTTATGGAAAATTTGAGAAAAAAAGGTTTATGATTTTTGAAAAACAAAAATTGACAGTTCAGAAAATATAATTCAAAAACATGTACATATATAGATATATCCAACATTTATATCCAAATTAGATGAAATGCTATATTCAAAATTACAATTTATAGTTTTAAATCTAATTAAAAGTCAATGTTTATAAATTTGAATAAATGTTGACATGAAAATCGTCAAATGTCATTTGTCAAAATTTATGAAAATAATTATATAAATAGATTTACAATTTATATTTATTTGATTAGCTTACCAAATTATTTCGGATACCAAAACTTCATCAAAACCTTATAGATCAGAGATCACAATAAAAAAGCGACATATTGAATTTAAAATTAATCATAAACAAAAATTTGACATTTCACAAAAAAAATGTTTAACGACTTCAATAAGAAACAAATAAATTAATTATTCCAAGTTATATTGCCGAAGAAATTATAGATACAGCACAATATTGTAAAATAAATATCATAGATTAATTTTCGACCAAAAAGGAAATATTTTGACATTTACAAATATACTGCATATTGAATATATGAAATTGACATTCACTATTTTTCAATTAAATGAAAATGTAAAAAATCAAATATTTATATAAAAAATTGTATATTCAGATGAAGTTACTGATTTGTTAATTTAGACTGAAACCTGATTTATTCATTAATTTTAAAAAAAATTGGCATAAACAAAATTAAAATAAACAAAACACCTGCATCATGCGTCAATTTGTGTAATTAAAATAAAATATTATTATTATATGAGTTGAGATAAATTTTGATTGCCATCGCAAACGTTAATCATACAGAAAATTGTAACCTCTTAAATGGAATAGTACAATCTGAAGGTATCATTGCAATCTGACAAAAATAAACTAGACAAACTAAATACTATATCATATTATATTAAATTTCGATCCAAAAGAAAATATTTTGACAGTTATAATTAATTTGAAATGAAATGCAAATGTCAATAATCAGATCTTTATGTAAAAAAATATTTATTTCCACAATATTCCCGTGTTGAATTTGCACTTTTTTATGAATTTAACAAGCATATAATATATTCATTGATCACTTGAAATAATTATTAATTTATAATAAATAAATATTGACGTATTTGACATGACAAAAGTATAATAAACAAAACGCTATGATGCGAGTGAATTAATTTTTGAAGTATGAAATGTCAAATAATTTTGAAAATTATAACAAGTTTTTAACTATTTGTCAGAAAGAATATATTTTATTACAAATTCATACCCATATCAAGCACCAAAGTAATAAATACTATTTATAAAATGGCATATTATTTATAGACAATATGATTTTAATGCATATTTTAATTATATGTTTTATATAAATATCAAATAAATATATTTATGTTTCACTTGATTTTAATGAAAATAATTCAATGCCAAAATAAAAAGTATACATCTAAAATTATAGTCTAAATATTACAATTTTGATAAATAATCATCCATTATTTTACAGTACAAAAATTGATAAAAAATTAATAAAAGTGCCAAAAATCAAACATTTTATAGATTTGGACTCGGATTTCTCAGAACTTTATCCATGTTAGTTTCAGGGATAGTATGAATATCAATTTGCAGTCGAAAATTAATAGGATAAGTGATTAAAACATTATAGATCACAATAAAAAAGCGACATATTGAATTTAACATTAATCATAAACAAAATTCTGACAGTTCAAAAAAAAAAATGAATTTTTAACGACTTCAATAAGATACAAATAAATTAATTATTCCAAGTTATGTTATAGGCAATATTGGCAATCAAATTATAGATATAAATTATATCATATTATATTAAATTTCGAACCAAAAAGGAAATATTTTGGCATTTAAAAATTTAGTGCATATTGGATATTTGAAATTGACATTCAATATTTTTAAATTAAATGTAAAAGTAAAAAATCTGATATTTATATAAAAATTATATATTTAGATAATGGTACTGCGATGATTCAGACTAAAATCTAATTTATTCATTGATTAAAAATATTTCACTATTTGACATAAATAAAATTAAAATAAACAAAGCACTATGATGCGTTCGAATTAATTATCAAAATGTAAAGAAATTCGTGTAATAAAAATGTAACATTATTATCAATATATCATGTATATTATAAAAACTTTTGCAATGCGGAAAAATATTTTTGATGGCAAAACAGCGTTTGCCGGGTCAGCTAGTATATATATATATATTAGGGTGGTCCTTAAAATGGTCATTTTCGAATTTCCTTGCTCCCAGGGGCTCAAATGGTTCCAAATAGATAAAAAACAATTCTCTGAAAGTTTTAGCTCTTAATATTAACGTTTAGATAGAGCGCAATTCAATCAAAGTTTGTATGGGGAGAGCATGTAAAAAAATTTGAAAATTAAAAAAAAATGTTTTAGGTCTAACTTAGCGACAAATGAATGAGTTTTATTCATTCATTTTAAACATTTTTTAAATTTTTGAAAATTTTGTCATGCTGTTTCCATACAAAACTTTGATTGAATTGCGCTCTATCTAAACGATAATATTAAGAGCTAAAACTTTCAGAGAATTGTTTTTTATCTATTTGGAACCATTTGAGCCCCTGGGAGCAAGGAAATTCGAAAATGACCATTTTAAGGACCACCCTAATATATATATATATATATATATATATATATATATATATATATATATATATATATATATATATATATATATATATGTTATTTTCATACCTCAGTCAGACAGAGATATGACAGATTATGTAAACAGTTTTCATATTTTGTATACACATTTTACTTGACTATATCATTATTATCTATTATAATAGCATTTGTAGAACAAATAATTAGCCATTATGGCATTCCTCTTAAAATTTTAACTGATCAATGCACTAATTTTTAAGTACACTTGCAAAATTGAACACCAGTTGCCAAATTTTAAAAATTGAAAAGCTCCAAACAACTTGTTACCATTCAGAATCTAATGGTGCTTTAGAACGGCCCCACATAACCTTAATAAAATATTTAAGAAGCTTTATACAAATCGATCAATCAGATTGGGACATTTGGCTGCCTTATGCCATGTTTACTTATAACACAACACCACATATGTCAACAGGTTTCAGTCCCTTTAGACTAGTTTTTGGCTACAATCCCGAACTACCTTCCTCACTTCTAAAACCCAAATCACCTCCATATACGTTCGATGATTGTGCACAAGAAATTAAGTTTAGAATAAAATCAGCCGTAGATATCGTAAGAGAAAATTTAATCTCCTCTAAAACCTCTTCTAAAAGTTATTATGATAAAAATTCAAAAGAAATTGAGTTTAAGGTAAAAGGAAAAACACGAAAACTGATAATATCATGGAATGAACCATTTGAAATATTATCTAAAAATTCACCTGTGAACCATACTTTGTTGTGTGATCCGAAATCAGTTAAAGTCCACAATAATATAATTAAGCCTTTTGAAATATAATAAATTAATGCATCATTTATTATTATACAATGCATTAAGTTTTATCTTTATTATTATGCTATATTTAAAATTATGTTTGTTAGTTTTCAATTTCATTTATATGTATATTACATACTTAGGATTAAGACCATTTCTAATAAAATTTTGTAATTTTATGTTAAAATGTTTTAAGATGTATTCTATCTTAGCTTTCCCTTGGCACCATAATCTCTCTAAGGGGGATGGTGTTATGCCATCTGGCAACTGTCAAGACATTAATGCATCTGTCAAGTCAGACTAACCAAGGTCAAGTTAATTAATGTATGTACATTATCTGGATATTCTGGAAAGCAAGGATCTCGAGGCTCCCTCCCACCATTCACGGACGTCGTTGAACAAGCATCTATATTTTTTTCTAATAACGTATATAATTTTTTACAAGATAATAAATCTCTAGTATTTTATTCTCTGTTTGATTTGTTGCTATTTTAAATTGATTCCACGCTGATGG